AATTTGGTGTATCAACTGAGTTAATATTGTAAATTGGCTGCCGTAAAAAGTTTGTAACGCTGAGGTTTCGAGCGTCAACCTTTTATCAGAACGAAAGACGAAGGACTAACGCTCGAAACGTTTAGAAACTCTTGACGGTGACCATTTTACATCATCACCTCGGTTGATAAACCAAATTATGATGGCAATGTATCGCCTCTTAATTCAAAATAATTTTTCCTTTCATCACACGCATACTAGAAACTGTCGACAATGAAGTTTCCTTGAACAGAAAGTAACGTTAAGATGAAAAAACAATTTAGGTCACATGACGTATCAAATATGGTGGTAAATTGAACAACCTTAATGAACTTTGATACCCACTGGAGGCGAGGAACCGAAGCAAGGGAGGTTTTGAGATTTACTTGGCAACAGACTTGTTAGTTAAGTTGCTCCCCCCTAAATAAGATTTTAATTGAGCAATATCTTATCACAGCAAGTTCAAGCCAAATGCTGCTCTTACCTCAAAAAACCATCCCAGACATGAGATCAACAATAACTTGCTATGATTCAAAATTTTCTTCGAAAACAGGGAAGCACTTTCTCTAAATGGAAATCAAATAGATTCAATGAGGAAAAAAAAAAAAAGTTGCTTTGAGAATCTAATTCCCCACCCCTGGCAAGCCACTGATCCTATTGGCCAGTCACACATAGAAAAACTATAGCAGGCTCTCTCTGACTTGTTGTTCTAGACATGTGATTCACTGATAAGGCAAGCAAAACACAAAACCAACAATGGAATTGTGTGCAAAATTCATCCTTTACACCCTTATACCAGTTTACATATTCTCCATACTGTTCTCTATACATTTCCTAAGGTGCTGACAAGGAGAAAGAGTTAACTCCCATCAGACAGAGTTTTTAAAACAAGCAATACATACTACAAATAAAATGTTTTCTTGTCTTTTCAATTTGAGCATTCATCTCTTTAGTAAGTAAACTACTATGCAGAAACCTGTAAATCATGTAGAGAAAATTGAGGACCATAGAGAAGTAGTCTAGAAGAGGAGCCACAGGGTCCATCATACTGAGGTACTCTACAGCCCATGGTATCGTAAGCACCAGTCTCCCACTGCACCAGGCCTTCTTGAGGTAACTGAGAATGTCAAAGTGAATGGGAATCTGAAAAGAAATAAATAGGAACAAATGGTAGATACATTCATGTCAAGAGCCTTTAATTTGAAAATTTCTGTTGTTGAGAGAAGCACTATCAATCATGCAGAGTAACTAAAAACGTTTGAATAAACGTAAGATTTGAGAATTCTGTAATAAAAATGAAATTTCTGGCTAACATGTCAACTGGATCAGTAATGTTCTAGAACTGGCTCCAGTTGTCCGAAGGTTGGATAGCACTATCCTCTGAATAGATCTCCGTCCATTGGTAGATAGTGCACCAGGGTTTTGCTGACACTTATCCGCTAGAGAGCAATTTATCCATTGTATAGTGTTATCTGCCTTTTGAACAACTAAGCTTGATATCACCTCTCAAAACTCCAAATTTGATAGGCTGACTTACCCTATTCCTTAATTTAAGAGTTTCAGTCACAATTGTTTGTGATGAAGTTTCTGTGCCATGATAAGGCTGGAAAATCAAAAACCCAAGGAACTTTGCCAAAATTCTTATTTTCAGTAAACAACTGGAAAAATCATGTTGTACTTCCTAGAAAAGGAAAAATCAAAGTAAAGACGTGTTTGCAAAGCATAGAGGAAAGCTCCTACTTAAAGAAAAGTGAATTTTAAATTGTAGCCCTTGCAAAATTTGTAAGATGGAAAGGAACACGATTTAAATGTAGATTGTGGGACAGAAGCCAAGGGTGAGGAGTGGTGTCAGGGGTGGATCAAGGGGATGGGTACAAGGTATGTTGATTCGTTGATTCCCCCCTCCCCCTCCAAATGACCTGCAGCTTTCTAAGATAACTTCAAAGTTACGCAAAATCTGTTGTATCATTTGCTATGTATTCTCATCTGTACACATTCTGTTAAAATTGAATGCCTTGTCATAAGCCTTCTTTTTCATCATCAGTTTTGAAATTTATTTGGGTCATCTATCAGTTATGTCATTCCTTAGGGGTGGATCTCCATCTGAGAAAAATACTGGATCCACCCCTAGATAATGCCATCTCTAGTAATAAAAAAGAGATCATCTGCTTTAAAAATAATAAAATCAAACAAAGGATGTAACAAACCTGATTTTGAATTGATAAGTCTTTGTCACTTCCTACTTTGATATCTGACAAGGGAAATTCTTTATTGTTGATCTGCAAGAAAAACACAAAACTTTTTAAGATTTAATGACTGGCAACCATTCTAATGTACTATTACTATGGTATACAGTCTTCTGATGACTGGCTCTTCAACACAACTAAACTGGAAAGACACCATCAAACAACAATTCAAGTCAACATTTCAAGTTAACCCATCAAAAAAAACATACCTCAGTTATTTTCACAATCAGTAAGTCCATTAGATGCTGATTGAATGAATGACTGCAACAAAATCAATAAACTGAGGTAGAATTTAAGCTGAAAATGAAATAATTTATTTCACACCGTCATATAAAATTCAGCATGGAAGAATCAAATATTTGAAGAGGGCAAATCAGTCAGAAAAGAAATAATTAAACCTTTGACCCCTAACCCTTTAGACCCTAACAACAGTATGCAAATTCTCCGTACTGTTCTCTATACATTTCCTAATGTGCTGGCAAGGAGAACTTGTTTAACAATCAAGAGCTTCTTTAGTTGGTGATCATTTCCTTTATTCTCATGACCTTAATGTTTGATTCAGGGGTGATATTGAAAGGAGAAATTAGATACTGGTCACACTCAGGGATTAAAGGGTTTACAGTGACTAGCATCTAATTTCTCCTCATCCGTGAATCATGCATTAAGGTCATGAGAATAAAGGAAATGATCACCACCTAAAAAAACTCTTGATTGTTGAACAAATTCTCCTTATCAGTACCTTAAAAAAAATGTATGAAGAATATACATACTGATGTTAGACTGCAATGGGTTAAATGAGACATAAGATTTCTTGTATTATATACTGTACCTAGCTGCAGATTGTATGAACCCTTTGAAGAATTCTTGCACATGACTAAAACTGGGGGCAGGACATGGGCCTCCAGATGATAAAGGAGTGATAAATCTCTCTTGAAGCCTGGTAGCACAAACATGGCAGAATGATATCAATAAATTGGTTGGATGAGTTTTTCAATACTCTTTTCTTCAACCTTTTTGGAAAAAATTAAAAAGTGGAACCCAAGAAAAAAGTATTTGGGAAATGTCTTACACTGATGACATGGAGAATGCATGTAACAGCCTAAGGATGCTAGTACATGGCAAAATGCATTTTGAGCAGAAGAAAAAAGATTAGGCTCAACTGATGGCTTTTTTTCTGTCTTCCCTATTACTTCAAGAAGAAAAAAGTTTTATCACTTAAACAACTGAAACTGATCAATTACCTCTGAAATTTTTCTGGATTTGACTTTTGCAAACTGCTAAGCATATTTGATGAACGAAAATCACTTCCACTCCTCTCCTCCTCACACATCTATGAATATAAAAAACAAAAATAAAGCTCCTTTAATCAACTCTTTAACCTCTAAAAGCTACTCGCATCTAATTCTCCTTACAATATAACCCCTGAATCAAACATCAATGTCAAAAGAATAGAGGAAATGATCCACAGCTTGTTTAACAAATTCTCCTCGTCAGCACCTCAGGAAATGTATAGAGAACAGTACAAAGAATATGCACACTGATGTCACAGTTTAAAAGGCAAATAGTAATGAGTAGGGTACAGTGCCATGGAGGAAATGGAAGGAAGAAATATCAGCACAAAAGCCAGCAGATGTGCCTATTGAAACTGTGAATCTGATTTTATATTTTGATTACCTGTAGTAATTGGGACTTAAACAGCCTGGCGAAATGGGAATAGTTTGCCAATTCTGGCTTCTGATTCACCAAAGCCCTGCAAGATGGATTTGAAGATTTAAAAAGCTCTCAAATTTAGTATTGACCAACAGAAGGGCTCTTTTGTTACCTGTACATAAGAAGGTCAAGTAAATTGAAAATATAATTTTGTTTAGTATCAACATCTCTTTTGAAATTCCAGTTGCCAGGGATTTAACCCTTTAACTCACATGAGTGATCAAAACAGAACTTCTCCTTACAAAATTCCCCAAACTAACAAGAATTGTAAGGCAGACAGTGAGGAGAATTACTAATGAGATCTTAGGAGTGAAAGGGTTCATTGTTTGATTAACACCAGTGTTCACCAAATTGTTAAATCCTAGCTGTCCAGGGTGATTAAATTTTTATTTCTCTATACACCTTTGATACAAAAAGGTCAGGGTGTTTGGGGGTTACAACAAATTCTCAAGGCCACTCATTAAATTAACTATTATATCTGGTGATGCTTAACCCTTTTCACCCAAAGTGATAAGCATCTAATTTCTCCATAGCGTATCACTCCTTAATCACACATTGAGGTCACAAGAATAAGGAAAATGATCACCAACTGAAGAAGCTCCTGATTGTTAAACAAATTCTCCTTGTCAGCACCTTAGGAAATGTATAGAGAACAGTATGGAGAATATGCATACCAACATTAGGGCATAAAGGGTAAACACTCTCCTTGGCCTGTACCTTATCCTGTCTCCCATGTGTTCCTCCATGTTCCATCCTGCTGCCAAATGTGAATCTTCCCATTCTCGCACAAGCTCATAAAATACATCCCTGAATGTAGAGCAATTGACATACTTAAGTTTAATTGATTTTAATTTGTGTAAATTCTCCCCAAATTTACTTGAAACTGAAAAAAATATGAATAATTATTTGCATTTAATTGAGTATTTTTCATAACATTGTACATCTCAATAAATGGTTATGCAGTATTATTGTAAGGAGAAATTAGATGTTTCTGTTTCCTCTTAGTGGTGTTAATTGAATTAAGGGATCTGGTTTGCCTGTGCAGGAGGCAAACTCACAGGACAGCAAATCCTCATTGACCAAGAACAGTGAGAAACAGGCAACCCTTTAAACCCTAAAAGTTGCCACTATTTAATTTCTTCATACAGTAATACTGCTGGATCATTCATTAAGATCACAAGAAAAAGAAAAATGATCACCAAGCTAAGAAGCTTCAACTGTTAAATGAATTCTCCTTATCAAGTACCTGAGCAAATGTATAGCAGAGGGTAGGGAGAAAAGGGATGCTGATGTTACAGTGTAAAGGACCACTGAATTTTGGCATGATATCAATGTACGCAACAAGTTAGGATTCATCATTAACTACACTTTACTGCAGTTTTTAGTTACATCAAACTTCACCAATAAAAGCTGAATAGTTCTACCCCTCTAAGCTTCTATTTCTGTTGAGATTCTACTAGGTAAAGCAGTTTATCAGTATCTGCTATGCATACTGCTGTTAATTGAGTAAAATAGAACTTACACAGTAAGCATCCAAAATTCTCCAATAAAATCATTGTACCAAAAGCTTCTGACAAAAGGCCAGAAGCAGTTGAATTGTTACACAGGAGAGGTGTTTTACCAATTCGTTTTTAAAATTTGGTAACTGTTCAGAGAGATTTGAGACTGGCCCTTCCAACATCAGATAACCATGAATGAGTAAAAATGTGGCATACATTAAATAAATATTTCATTTGTTTATTGTATTTCTCAACTTGAAGCATTTTAACTTTTTTGTACAGCACATATGTGGTTATTAAATGTGATTCTTTATTCTGCTTTATATTGTATTGATAATTGTAAGGAGAAATTTTGCCTTGATTACAAATGGCAGTTAAAGGGTTTACTTCAATTGCCTTCTCATTTCCACTTAATTTCCATGGCCTGTTTGGGGAAGTAGTCTGAGGATTCCACTATACTGTATTATCCAGAATTAAACTGAAAAACGGCAAGTCTAAGCAGTCTGTATTACATCTTGATGGTACTCTTTTAAGAGTTCTGAGTTATTTCAAAAATCTTTTGTCCACCAGTAATGAACCAACACTGACCATGATAATAACTCAGTGTCCCCAGAATTTCAGGGGGAGGTCACATGTTAATAATTATTACAACTTTTATTCCTTCTCAACACAAAAATATGCAATCACTGACAACAGGCCAACAAAAAAAACATGGATGCAGATCTGTGGTGCAGATGATTCCACACTAGGATGTGTGGTTGGTGCAGATGATTCCACACTAGGATGTGAGGTTGGTCTGGGGCCATCATCCAATTCATACACGCGTCCAAAAAGGGCCGCAGTCAACAACCCTTTTGTCAGCTGCTGCTTGGTCTGCAAATGTGTCACAGGTACACCGTGGTCCCATTCTCCTGGCAGAAGTGATACACCATCAGCTAACACCTGTGGATAGATATACTGTGTACCAAGTGAACCATGCAGTGTGAAGGACTTGAAAATGGTACTTGCATTGTATACTCTCTGCCCACAAGAATTACGGTTCAATCCCAGACACTTGATAAGAGTGCATATTTGTAAATAATATTGTCCCTCTAGGATGTGAAGTCCATCAAAGACACCTAACGCATACATTTCATCAGAGCGTTTCTCCACCATCTCATAGGTAAGGGAACAACAAATGCTACTGCCATTGTAACACACATCCAAGGTGCCTTCAGGTTTCTTCAGCTCTTTGAAAAGAAAGAGATCGCCGAACAAGTCCGAGTAGAATGAGTCTTGACCAGCATTGCCTTCTTGTATCTTTGTAGCATTCACCACTGGAGTACCTGAAGGTCTGTCCCTTGGTGATTTGGGCAAGGTGGCAACAGATAAGGAACCATTGACAGTCAAGCTTCTATAGTACTTTTTAGCACCAGTGGGGCTGTAGAGTCCACTCCCAGTGTTTAATACCTCTGGTACGTGCGAGTTTGCAGAGAGAAAGTTGACCTGCATTCCCCGGGCCCATGACCCATGGAATCCAATGGCTGCAAAAAGAGGCACCACATCAAACCATGCTGTAGGAAAGACAATATGGTCAACTTTGTGTTTGGTCACCAGTGGTATTGCTGGATCGTGAAAGAGCGCATCAAAACAGACAAATGTTCCAAATTTACCAAAGGGTGTGTCAAAGGTAATGAACTCAGGTGTAAGAGGACGATTAACCACTTTCATTTCATTCAAAAAAGGATGCTGCTTATGATATCTGGCCACAAGTTTGCCTTTGTCATCAAATACTACATTAGTATTATATTGGTATCTTCCATCACTGGGGCAATTTTCATCAGTGCTTTTATTGCATGGCTTAACATCTCCCATATTCACTACAAGGTACATATCATAGGTTTTTGCCAGACAACTGAGGCGGTATAGAATAGGACTGGAGCTGTTTGCTTTTGGCTCTTCACAAGCATTCCAACTGGTCTTCTTTGGATCTGGGATGTCTTCTAAAAATGGCTGAAATGAATCACGAGTGTAGCCAAAGCCTGTTAGGCCATATTCAGGAAAGACAATAATACTTGCATTCTGCAAAAAAATCAAATGAAGATCATGTTTAAAACAATTTTCATCTCAAAATCAGTAGGCAATTTCTCCAAACTCTTCTTTATACATTGGAGAAAAAAAGAGCTTCTTTAGGCAGTCACGCTGTATTCAGTTGTGACCCCTCCATTCCTGTTGGTGACCACCAAATACAGGTGTGACTGAATATTTTACTTTATTCTCATTACTTGTTTGCCTGATACTTTTTTTTAATATGTACATGTAAGGAGAACTTCTTTCTTCACCACTCAGGGGTTAAGTACATGTAAGTTGAACTAACTTCAAACTTTTTGAGGCCAATCGACGTTCACTTCAAATAGTTACCTACAAGCCTTAGTCAAAAAAATTAAATAACCAGTACCTGCTGTTTAGCTTTTTTCATCTGGGTCGCGTACACATCCATGTTCTGCATGACGATTGCCACAGCTTCTTGCTGGGAGAGGACGTTTGTTCTATTTTGGGCCCTGACAAAGGCATGCTCATATACTGCAGCCACAAACTCTGATCCAGTGGAAGATGTTAAAGCTGTACTTGTTGCCCAAATTGACAGCAGGCACAGGATTTGAAGCGATGGCATTTTTTTATCAGACTGACGAAGATCGTGCTGTGAAAAAGAATCGTAACAATATACTGAATAGTTCAAGAGGGTCTGCTTCGTCACGTTCTATCGAGAAAAAGAACGACTTTGATTTTCTAAGAGATGTTCGCTGCCTCCCCTAGGTATAGCGAGTGGAAAATCCGCGATTCTCCGAGATTCTTGCCACTCAGCTGCATGTTACCGCCGTGGTCTTCTACAGATTACGGCAACTCTGAGCATTTGGAAGTTTCGCAAAAATACTGGACTGCGAGACCGAGAGTAGTACACTATAACCGACATTTTGAAACAAACTTCAATGGCTAACGAGAGACTTGCGAATTTTCAAGGTACGAATTCGCCTCTCCTTCCCCTGAATGTGATTATTTAATTATTAAGTGAAACCACAAAATTATCTTGAGATTCCCTACAATTTCTGTTTTCAAAAGGCAAAATCCCACGTACAACATTATAGTAACAATTTGCCTTTTGCAAATAACACAAGCCATAAAGGTTTAACACAATCGATCGACACTAGAACTTATGATTGATATTTGGCGCTATCAATCTGCCTCAGGACATCAGCGATTTATAATTAGTGCTTTTAATTGGAATCTGCTCTAACGACTCAAGTGACTGAGGTTAAGCACTAACGATTAACCATTTTAGAACGGAGACTAAATTGATTTACACTTACGAGTTGTTGCTAGCACTAACGATTGAGTTTCATCTCTAGTGATTGATATTTTAGCTCTAACGATTAACTTTAATCTCTAGCGATTGATAATTTTGTCACAGATGGCTTCCCATATAACCCGAAACGGGCTTCAAACGAAATCTCGACTATTTCCACGACAAACTGCATTTGCAATAAAATCGATCAAAACTTTGCGGCTTACCTTTTTGAAGTTAAAGCTTCCTTCGACGAGATGAGTTCCTTCGAAGGTTGTGACGAGAAATCGTCGCCCAACTCTGGCGATGAGAATGTCGTTTTTTCGCTAATATTATTTTTGGCCTTTCGTCAGGATGCCACACACAGCTGTGCACTAGTCACGTGATGTGGAGCAAAAGTTCAGAATCACCACGCTTCCGGCAAAAACACACCTTCGATTAGACAAAGCTTATTATTTTGTCTACGGCACAAAACAGAATTAATCAAACTGATTCTTAAAGTTAAGGTTATTCTCCTGCTGATATAGACTGAGCATAATTTTCACGCGTGGGCAATGCGCGTAAATAATAATACGACGCCTTATCTTCTGGCCGGAAGCTCTCTCTTATCTCAAATAGTGATTACCTCGTTTATCAATAAAGGGCAAAATTACTGAGCGCTGATTGGTTGAGAGAGAGAGCATTTTTTCTTAATCGAGGGCATTTTTAGTAATCAAGAGAGGGCATGATTACCTGTAAATGATTGGCTAATCCGTTGCATAGCAACCGTTCGTTATCTTGAAATTTGTTAAAAATAGACTACGTGCGTGATTTTCCTTCGTATCAATTTTGCCCTTTATTGATAAACAAGTAATCCCATGAGACCTCGTACTATTAAGGATTAATTGCACTTGAGTTTTCAAAATTTTCCAAATTGCCCTCGTCGCTTCGCGACTCGGGCAATTTTGGAAAATTTTGAAAACTCTCGTGCAATTAATCCTTAATAGTACTTGGCCTCATGTGATTACATATACTAAACGGGCTCAGTGAGTAGGATTCGCTGCAGTATTGTTATCTTTTTTTATTACTTCAAAACATCTCTGTCATCTCCGTGACATTTTACAAACACAAAAACGTAGGACATTAAAAACAAGTTTTTCACCAATATTTGAACACAGAATTCTATCACTAAACTCTGTTAGAGGGAACGCAATCATACTTATATTAAGCTTCCGAAAGATCGTAATAGAGTTCTAGTACTCGTCATCTCAATGTAATTGAAATAAAACTTGGTGCTTGCATCTTCATCAGCAGAAAATTAACCTCTAACAACTTGCATCGGTTCATGTACGGTACTTGAAAAAAGTGTAGAAGCTAATATCTTCTTATCAATAAGCCGGTCTGCCAGACAATCGAGGATTTTATTGTTTCCCGGCCAACTAGATTTTATGAACTCAAAAACACCGAAGACGGCTTCGATCGTCGTGAGTTGGTCACAGACATATCGGTAACATCGGGAGGCGAATTCGGAACATTCGGGAGACAATCGTTTCTCAGAACGTGTGAGATAGACATTTCATCTATTTGGAAAACTGTATGTGACTTCATTTCTCCGTAAAGAATCGAAAGCACATATCGACAGAACGTTTTTCAATTCATTGGGGCTTGGAAGTATGGAGCAATTTCTTCTATCAGTAAAAATCTGACGAAGGTCACCTTTCGTTTGCTTGAGGAAATGGCAAATGTTGGTGTGTTACTTCTTTTTTTGTGAACATCCCATGTTCATTGTTTCCGCAGGCGCTAAGCTGAGTTTGCATACTACGCGCCAAAAACTTTTGTGACTCCCTTTGAACGTTCCAGATCTGACACGAACGAAGTGAAAGCTCTTCCGAAGTACTATATATACTTTGAGAGACACACTGAGAGAGAAAGTGACCGTTATATAGGTTGTATAGAGCCCCCTCCCCTCATTTCCCTTAAAAAAAAAAAGAGAAGGGCGTCACCCCTTCCGATTTCTTACGAGACGAGGGGGGCAAGTGCTAACAAGCTACCTCTGTAGAGATGTGGCCGTTATGGCAAGAAAGAGGTGTTATATAACATTTTCAGAGAAGAAAAAAGAATAACGACATTTTGTAAACATACTAGTACGTAACACAAACAAATACAACAGTATAACAGAAACTGTAACTCAGTGCTCAGATTAAATTCTTTTGCTTTTAGTATTGCATCTTATCTTCTCCTTGGCGTTAGCGAGAGTGAGCTGTCAGAGCTCTCCGCTTAAGTATGCTGTCGCGTCTTTTGTTAATCAAAGCGATCAGTTAGCTTGTATCCTAGACAATTCATTTGCTTCCGGGAAACTTGGCCGTTATTCGGCAGGCTGTTGCCGTTGAAGGGGGGAGGGGAGGGGAAGGAGTTGGGGCGGGAAGGGGGAAGCGGTGACGGTTACATAGAGGCTTGAGTAAGAGTGAATGAGTCGATCTTCCGCTGACACCCAATGAAGTAGTTTTTGTAGAGGGCTACCCAACGTATATGGTTCCACTTGACCACAAATACATGGAAAATAGGCTACTTGGTTACAATTAGGGAGTAACGCTGTACTAAACGAAAGTAGCTCCTACCTTGGAGTATCAAGGAAACACGCTTAGAACTCTCAAATATCTCATAACTCTTAGGAAATGCTATATATTTCTTCACTGATATTTAAGGTGTTTAAACGCTTGAATATCATACAGTCGAACCTGTCTTAAGCGGCACCGTATCAAGAGGTCACCGTTTATTAAGCGGTCGATTGTCGAAGTCCTGAATTTGTTTCCCCTAAATCACTGCAATTTTCACCTCTGTCAAGCGGTCACCTTTAATAAGCGGTCACCTTGAGTGAATCCCAACAGCCTGCTTGTATTGTTTTCCAGCTATATTGAGCGGTCATTTAAAGTGGAAATACTTAGAGAAAACTACGAACAATCTTTCAAGTAAAATTTAATCCATGTTTATCTCCCAAAATCAAAGTAAGTAGTATTTTTAGAAGCGAGTTTTTGAACAGTGTAAGGTCAATGATAGCATACAATGGCGTTTTCTATCGCTTCTTATTTTACTCCTACTCTTTGGAACGTGTATTAAGCGCCCTGCCCTGCCCATTCCCCGTGGGTGACCGCTTAATACAGGTTTGCCTGTATTATTATAAAGTCAGTTCGTCTACTACGCACTTGTTTACCTTTGTTTTCTGAAGTTGTGGAAAGCTCTGTCAGTTGGAAAATTCTGTTTATTGTCTCGTTCAACACTAAATGGTACTCCACCCAGGGGAGATTTGACAAAGTTCATCTCTGTCACCTAAAAGAGAGGCTTGCGATGATAAAACATAACTTACTGCATAGTAATTCATCTTGCAGCTTAAAATATCCTGGTTACCCTTGCATCAAGGTTAAGATGTTGATACTAATTTTTGCCTTTTGCCTAATTTTTAAGACCTTCATTTCCTTCCAAATATCGTTAATAGTGCTATCAATGTTATTGTTATTATTACCATAATCATCATTAGCAAACCTGTTAAATCTTCAATTATTCATATTGCATTATTCATCTCATATAAAAAAAATAAAAGCCTCTGATTAAACAAGGTAATTCCTACCTTTTTGACAGAGTAGGTTTTGTACTGCTGAAGAAATGTCTCTTTGAGAACTGGTGAAAAATCTGCAATCTGAGAAAAAAAAAAAAAGGAATGAAGGCTTCTCTCTTGCCATGTATCTCTTGTAAGTGAGCAAGAAAAATAACCAGAATTAATTTAATCCTCCCATGACTGACCAAGACAGAATTTCTCCTTACAATATCAATACAATATCAAGCAGACAGGGGATGAGAATATAGACAAATATCAACTAAGGGATTATCAGTTGATCCAATACAAAATTCTCCAAACTAACATCAGATGAATTGTACAGCAGTCAGTAAGGAGAATTACTAATGAGATCTTGTGGGTGAAAAGGTGAAAAGACTTTCTCCCGTAAATAAACTGTTGGTTCTCCTCTTCAGAAATTTGAATTCAAATCCACTTAATTGTATTAAATAATATCCATTTATACAATAAGTGGGAACAGCTAATTGCAAAGTTGTGCTACAGCCTGTATTGGAAGAATTACTGAGTGTATGTAGGCTCAAGTCTGACAAATCTAGGATGTCCACTGATTAAAAGCTTTTACAAAAAAGCAAAGTGGTCAAGGTTAGTGGCCTATGGCACCTATTTACTGCTACAGCACAGCCCTGGCAGGCTTTGTCTTAAAATTAACCACACGTGTTCAATACTGAATGGTACCTTTTATCCATTTCTGTTTTTTCCTAGATGCTTGATTTCATTTGGATTCAAACGCACAAGACACCTAATCGAGTGGTTTATCATCCCAAAAGTAATAGTAAAAAAAGGAAAAAATTCATATAACATACCCTTGGATTATCAGCTAATAAACGAAGAGTCTCCTTGTCCAACAGAAGAACTAATCTGACAAATGCAATTCAAATATGAGGCAAAGAAAAAGGAAAAAATTACACATGGACGAGATTTGTAACTCTAAATCAAACATGGCTGGTCAGATAAACAATTATGAGCTTATAAAATTAGTTTGCTGTTATAAGACGCCTGTGCTGCTGGCAATGAGATTTGTGGAGACAGAGTGGTTAGGATGTTGGACTTGTAGTCTGGTGATCCTGGGTTCAGGCTCTCTCTGGCTCTTTACAATGTTTGTTTCAATTTGTTTGCATTGGCCTTAAGGAGGCCCATCAGGAGACTGGTCAAATAATGATATAATTATTAGTACAAGTATTATAATTATTACAATTATTGAGATTTCAAGATGGTGAAAAGAATTATGTTATAAAGGAAGTCTAACACACCTCTTAATCTCTTCCAGCACTGTGACAGCAAAGTAAGTGGAATTATGGATTGAATCCAGAATATTTTGATCATCTGAATTATTACCTAATGGAGGTAAATGATTAGTCAATAAGTTCTCAATAAAAGTAAAATTTAAGCAACATTTTCTATATTTTTCTTGTTACCCAAAACAGTTTAACCTGGTCTCCAGAAAGGATGATCAGAGAAGGTAAAAGTTATCATGAAATTTCCCCAAGGGAAGAAAAGGGGGGGAGGGGAGGGGAGGGGCAGGGTACTCTGGTGAATTTTTGCTGGGTATGTGCCATTGGCCTCTCAGAACCCATACCTCATTGCAGTCTTTTCTGTGGCCAATCATAGACCCCATCTTAGTCAATTTTGGGTAAATGTTATTTTTGTGATCTTAACGTAATCAGTTTCTGATTATGCATCTACCTCATTTTTACACCCTTACTTACAAGAATTTTCTTTTACCCAAAATCCCAAAAATGTACGACCCCATTCTAGTAACAGCATTGAATATGAAACCTCCCAAATAGTAATCCATTCATGAAAATGCAACTTCATCCAGCAGCACATCCCCATTGGCTAAATACACCCTCTTACCCCTGGAAAAATATCATCAACTAAAAATTGACCACCTTCTACAATTTTTAAAATCTTTTTTCCACCCCTTCCAGGGATAGGATAGCCCTAACAAAGTGTCATGACAGAAAACCACTTTGAACTATTTCTTGCAACAGAAAACTTAAAGCCTTGAAATCATCTTCAAAGGAGAAAACTCAAATTTCAGATTGGGTTCATGGACATCACATTTACAATAATGCTGTATTATTTTTTAATAATGTTGTTACCATTAATTTCTTCTTGCCTTGATTCGTGAGCAATGCCTCTTGCAGTCAACAGCTGTACCACAAAATAAACTTCTGCTGTAACATTAGGAACCAGGTTTTCTTCATCATAAAAAAAGCAAAAATTGTAGGTTAGTAATGTCTCTGGCATAAGTGTGATCATGGTTTGATTTTTGAGAATCCAAACACCAGGGGAGTAATAAAATTTTATAAATTTATTCTCTGAATAAGCTCATCCAGTCAATAAAATGAGAATTCTTGGGATAGCTATCCAGCAGATTAAAAGTTTCAGAAAGTGCAGACCGTGTGATGTACATGTTTAGTACATATTAAATGAGTGGATGGCATTGAAGTTACTCAAACTCTGAATATCTGGAATTGTGCCTGATAATATTGTTATCATTGCAGGAATAAATGAGTGAAAAAACATCTAAATGCAGGCAGTTGACTCTTAAGAGATTTTTTACAAACAATATAATCTACAAACAAACATCTTTTTAATATGTACACAGAACTTTATAAATATTTACACTGTTGACCTCACTATGGGTAGATTCTTTTACTAGATAGCAAGTCAACACCCCCATCCATCCTTCCAACACCCAAAAAAACAAAATGGACAAAATTCACCCAATGGATAGAAACTTTACCAGCAGTTAAGAAATCAGTCATTAGATGAACAACCAAGCCAGATGGAAGATATTTTTTAAATGTACAAAATTGAAAAGATTCAAACTTACCTATTATACATCTTGAATAAATTTTAGCAAGAGTATCCAGTTTAATGTGAAAAATAACTTTGTCTTTCACAGCTTGTACTGGTTGAATTTCTTCTATACAACTTTGTTTCTCAGACTGTTCACAACTTCCAGGGTCTGCAGTCAGAATATCAGAAGCTTCACTTGCATTAGGACTCTTGTAAGGTGAAGGTGTTGAAATCAAACTTTCATCTGGTTTTGATTTGTTCTTTTGCCATGCATCAGGCACTGCAGTTGGGTGTTTTGGTGGAGTTATGATGAAATCTCCTAAGACATGAGATGGAGGGGATCTGATCCCAGTTTGGGGACTGGGACTAGTTCTATATCCCCAAGGGGAATCCCCCTTATTCTTTCTTTTAGATTTCATAATTTTTAACAAGTCCCTTTCTTCTTGTAAAGATGCTGGACTTCCATGGCCATCCAGCATGGAATGCGAGCTAGAAAATGGTGATGATGCAAATGCTGGTGAAGATTTTCCCTTTTTACCATCACCTTTGACCTGTGTTGGTGTGATTCTTCGTGACGGTGTTACTTTTTTGCTGTTAACACAAAAACATTGTTCAATATTAGGATAAACAGTCCCTGAGAGAAAATAATACAATCAAAGTTTGAATCCACTGACTCCTAAAAGGGCCTACAGTTGAAGCATCTAATTTCTCCTTACAATATCACCCCTGAATCACTCATCAAGGTCATGAGAATAAAGGAAATGATCACCAACTAAAGAAGCTCTTGATTGTAACAAGTTCTCCTTGTCAGCGCCATAGGAAATTTATAAAGTACTGCGAGGAGATCGAACAAACTGATATTGGCAAGTAAAGGATTAATATTGATTGTACACTGACTCACCTGGTGGATTTCATGGGTGGAAAATCATTGGGATCATCAATATTTAACTTTGGCTGTGTAACCAGTAGTGAAATTCTCTCATTTCCTGGCACTTTAGGAGACTTTCTCTTGAAATTTGGCGATGAAGAGGGTGTATCTCTTCGACTTTGTGACAGCGGAGTAACAGGGGATGGAGAAGGGGTCTTTTGTGAAGGAAATACATTCCCCCTAGAGGAGCCCTTTGCCACGTGAAGAGCTTTTTCCGGTACACCTTTGCCATGGGACACTGATGTCTTCTTGGGTGTCAGAGCAGCACTTTGTCGTGGGGTTAAGTGATGCAAGGTTTTTTCTCTAAGGTAGTTGAGAAGGAAGGGGACCAGCTCTCCAATATTGTGCTGTTTTAACTTCTCTTTTTCACCCTTGACATGTGGATCAAATAGAAAATAAAAAAAAAGCTTAAATGTCTCAGAACATTTTGTATCTTGTCCTGGACAATTCTCACACCCCAAACTAAACAGTAATTATGGTGGCTATCCCAGAATCCATTCACTAAAGCAGGCAACTGCATCAAAATGCTTGCTGCATTGGATCAATGCCAGTTTAACATAGGCAACTACACCACCCTCCTCTCCATTAGTAACTGTTATGCTCTGATAAGCCTCCATCTCAATGATGCCCCTATATTCAATATGGACTTCATCTAGAACTTTAGGTTTCCACTG